GTATCCTAGGAACATGCATCTAAGTCTGGTCAAGTGTTCACCACAGGAAGAGCCACAGTGGTGGAAGAGGCTGCAGCGCCCAGCTGCTGTACCTGGCCCTTGGCTGCAGAGTCCTGACCCCAGAGCTGAGCCAGCAGAACAGGACGCATGGGCTGTCTCCATTGCCCTGGTGCTAAACCACCCATGCTAATTCAGTTGTTCATCATTATGTAAGTGAACTGGGCTGACTCTTTGCTTTCAGGACAAGGGACAATCCCAGCTGTCCCTCTGTGGGGACGCTAAGCTGCAGCAGGACAATGGGAGGAGGCCTGAAAGGAGCAGTAGGGAAAATATGATAGAGGTCTGCAAAATGCTGGCCTCCATAGAGAAGGATTGACTACTTACTGGTCTCTTTCAGTACATGTCCTATGGGCTATAAGGGAGCCAGGTTGAAAACAAATGTAAGGAAGTGATTCTTCAAGCAGCGAGTAGGCATACACTTTGTTGCCAGAAGACAGTCTGGCTTCATGGGTGTAAAGGGAGAGTGGACACGCACTTGGAGAGGGAACCACTATGGGATACTAAACATAAAAGATCACGGGCACAAAAAAAATGCCTCTAGCTGAGAGCGGTCAGAGGCTGTGGAAACAGTTTACAGCTTACTTGCCTATTCTCACTTATCAACAGGCATCCCACTATAGCCAGTTTTCTTTTTCCCTGGGGAAGATCATGAATGTGGCCCTCCATTGTCACAGTTCAGGCGGAGGAGTTGCTTGTTTTGCAGATGGATGCAAAGTGAGTACACCCAAAATGTTGGATGTGAGATTCATTCAGGGAAAACACTGGGGAACAAGAAGAAGAGGAAAGAAGGAAAGATGTAATTAGGACAACCTAATCAAGTTCAAATTAGATCAACACATTCTAGGAACATATGTAGCACTTTTTCTGGACTTGCAGTCTCTCCTGAGCCTGCGTATCCCCTTAGGTCCTGCTCCACCAGAGTAATCCCACTAGAGCTGTAACATGCAAACAGCAACAGCAGCAACCAACAACAGTGCAGAACCCAGCTTCCTGATAAATCCCACTATTGCCAGCTGGGACAAGGCTTATGCACGCACAACCACTCAAGCTTTTTCGAAATTACTATCAGGTTTGATTGGGCTTTGGAGCTAACTGCTGTGAGATCTCAGCTTCCCTTCCCCCCTCACAGTCCAGACACTCAAAGGCAGCAAGAGCATCCCAAATCTGTGCCACCAAACACTTCCAGCAGTGTGTCAGCAAGGCCTCATCGTCCCAATACCATCAGTGGGTGCCAACTCAAACAAGAAGTGAGCATGGCACAGCTGGGGGAAATGGACTTCTCCTTGCATACCAATGGAGACGGAGCGGCGCATGGCACTGGCCCGGCAGCCCCTCCTTACCCAAGAGGCACGGAGCTGGGACGGCAGACTGCTGCAGGTGCAGAAAAGACACGTAGTTCCAGTCTCCCCGCAGATTTCCTCTGTTCCTTCCAAAGTCACAATATTTTAATTGATATTTCTTGTGAGAATTCAACAGGTGCAACATAAATCCCACGGATTGTGCTGAATCTTACAAAATCTTGACTTTCATTTTGGAAGTGGGGGGAGAAGAGAGGAGCTTTCTTGCTCTTTGGGTTTTTAGCCTTGAGCTACGTGAGACAGAAAAAATGCTGTATTTTCTCAAAGTGCTGCCAGATTAAAATAAGCAGCTATTCAGCTTTTTTTTTTTTACCCTGGAAGGATGGTTAACTCATTGAGAAAAACTCATTGACTGCACAAGTATATTCAATTATAGCAGAAGTAGTGTAGGGACAAACTGCTTTTTTGTATACATTCTAGAGTGGGGGGCACAGAAGCTTCTACATCCATTCTGTGCCTTCAGACATACTTGGCAAAACAGATGGGACAGCAGCAGTGTCAGGAAGAGAACCTCTGGATATATGGATACGCACTAGAACCCTGTTAAAAACAGTTAACAGACCCATTCTGCCATGGTTTAAGTTATTAGGTGAGAGGTACTAGCTGTACCAAAGGTGGATGTCACAACATGATTTCTTTACCATTAAGTCATGATTTATCTCCTCTTGGTTTACTGTCTACTTGACCAATGACTCAATATCTTCAGGGCTTCACATGGAACGCATGTAAACAACGAGCAGATAGGGAGGCAGATGTTGGAAATTAAACCAGACTTCCACTTCTCATTTTTGCAGTTGTCCATGGATAGCATTTCTCTAAGAAGATTCCTGATAAGGGTTTGTTAGAGGTTTTGGAGGTTTTTATGTTTTTTTATAGAAAGTTTTATAAAATGTTAATCCACCCCAAAACTTCAGAACACCTGAGAAGACCATATTTCTAGCACTTAAAAAGTGAGCAAGCTGATAAACTGCAAATCTGTGTGTTCTTCTCCACAATCCTGTACCCAGTTCTCTGCAATTTTACCTCGTTTGCCATTTGATGTGAGTGTCTAGCATGGGTCCTGCACTGATGCCAGGCTAGTCTGATCATCCCCTATAGGAAGAACATTCTGCTGACAGATGTCTATCAACTGATGGATTAGGTTTATACCTTTATGAAAAAGAGTTTTTTTCTTTTCCATTCAATACTAGCACTCAGCACCACAAAACCAACAACAATGAAACTGCTGGTAGCAGTAATATAATGCTAAAATTGCTAACAATAACAAAGAGCTTTACTGAGAACATAATGAAGATCCTCAAACCTTATAATAATAATAATAATTTCACTTAGCACAGTGAGAGATGTGACTTTTAAAGAAGAAATAACAAACTAGGTAAAAGGGACAATCTCTCCATTCTTTTCATTATATGTATCAAAGGGGAAGAAATGGTTGTTTGTTTTGTTTTTCCACAGAAAATATGAGATATTTCACTGAGAATGAAAAGTTGAAATCTCACTAGATTTTTGTAAATTAAAATATAAAACAAACCAAAACACAGAATGTGCATCAACACAAGCGAAACACTTCTCTTACTCCTCCTTGGTGCCTTTTGTCTATACTTCGACTTAAAAGTAAACTGAAAAAAATCACACTAAAAAAAATCAAAGTTTAAAATATGTGCCTGGGTGTTTGAATGCATTATTCTGACTTTATAAGCATTTTTTCCTGATTTTTAAACAAAAAATTATGAAAATGGACGTTCTCCAATAGTGCATGTCCATGAATCCAGATTTTTTGACAAAGACAACTTGGGGAAAATTCGTGCTTGATGCCATGTCTTCTTTGCCCTCCTCTAAAAACCTGAAGAACTCTAATACTCAGTTCTTCTACTGTACAGGTCTGAAAACACATCACCATGGGAGTCAGCACCATTATCCTCATTTCCCACGGTCAAAGAGTGAGGGACTTGCCCCAGGATAAGTAGCAGGCAAGCCATGCAGCTGAAAGGAGAGGTTTCCCCTTCTAGTCCCAGCTGGTACTCTTTCGTCTTTGCTGTGTGAACAAGAAATGGGTCTCTGAGTTGATAGTTTATCTCTAGCCCTGAGATAGGATTGATACACTTGATTTTGTAAGAGATTGTGAGAGTAAATCCCTGCTTTGAGGAGCAGGAGAAAGACCAGCACTTCTCCAGAGGGACTTGCTGTGAGATGATCTGCCCGGTGACTGAGGCAATGTAGGGGGGTCCAAAGAGAGTCCTTGCAGCCATGTCCCTCCTCATTTCCCCCTAAGAAAGCAGATTTATCTGCATTTATAAAGAACACAATGCTGAGAGAATGCTACCTAAAGTTTAACTAGAGAGCAAATGGAAAATTTAGATAAAAGTCTTTCAAGGAAAAATAATGAGCAGAATTACAGTAGAAACAGTTGCTATATGGACAAGGCAAAATATTTGACAAGGAAAACATATCTGAGAAGAAAGCACAAGGGTAGAGCTATTATAGCTTCTGAGGTCTTTTCCCTCAGACTTCTTATTTTATAACATATTTCTAAAACACAACACCCACAACTGTTTTTCTTCATCTATCAAAGCATAAAATTGCCAGTCCTTTGACCTAACTTAAATGAAGGAAGTAGCAATGTTAGGTTTAATTAAAAACAGCAAATATTTGTACAGCTGTCCCTGGTTTCACAGCACAGAAATAGGTTTAGCATCAAATCTTAGAGTTTTAAATCCTTTGGGAACCATATACAAAAACATATAGGATCCTTCTGGCTGACTTGCCAAAGCCAGAAATGCCTTTTTTTGGAGTTATTTCAGGTGGGGCTCATTCAGCTTTCCCGTTTCCAACCCACTGTTTTCCTACTTGAGACTTTTTTTTACTTCTTTCCATGCTCCAAATGCAGTACTGTCAGCTTGACAGGTCTGGATGCATTTAATGTATTTTGGAATTGTGAATAATAGTAATGCTAATAACAACAACAACAACAATAATAATAATAATAATAATAGTAATTAAACTGAGGGTAAGCGGAGAAGTTTTGACTTAGCAGCAGCCATAGCTTTTTGGTGGAAACCCTGCTCGCCAGACCCAGCTGGGTGTTTCCAGGGACCTTTGCCTGTTGGTGTGGGTGTTACTGGGAGGCACCTGGTGTGGGATGTGGGAGCAGCAACCAGATCTGCATCAAACACCCCTGGAAACAGGAGGGGTCTGGAATGAAAAGTTTCACTCCTGGCCCTTGCTTTCCTTTTAAATTGCACATCATAATATGCTGTAAAATCCTTCAGCACCAAGCTGTTTAACACAGCCTTGGGAGGGCTGACTCCATGTACACCCCACCCCCTTGAATGGGCCAGCCTTGGCAAGCGCGGTCTCAGCAGGGACCACGGGAGGATTTACACTGCCTCGTGCGAAAGGCTTGGCAGACCCAAGCTTTGCACCCACCCATCTGTCCCTCCCGAGCAAAGCCGGCCCTGGTGGGGTGGAGAGGCAGGTGGGGCGGGTGGCCACCCAACATGGGTCAGAGATAAGAGGGAAGAGGGAGGGAAGGGGCCAATCCAGGTTTAAAAAGCTGCACCCAGGTCTGGAGTGGGAAGGCTGATGGCAGGGCCATCTGCTCTGCTTGTGTCCATCAGACACCAGGCAGCGGCTCTCTGCACTCTCCAGGCTGCTGCAGCCCCCCATCTTCCCTACAGCCCCCCCCAGCCTTCCCAAACCTTTAGTGCCAGCAGGTCTGGCACAGCTTGGCACAGCCCAGGAGCAGTGATGGAGGTGTCCAAGCCTGGTGGGGCTCAGGAGCTGGAGGAAGAGAGAAAAACCCTAAGGAAAAGCCCTAAGGAGGGAGAAGAGAGTGAAGACCTGTCTTCTCTCAGCCCAGGTGAGCCCAGGCCAGAGAGGCTGGCACGGCCAAGGCTGGCAAGGTGTGAGACACTTCGAGAGAAGGCTCTGCGCAGCAAGATGTCCCGAGTAGTAGAAGCAACTTCCCGGCTTGTACAAGTAGAACAGTCTCTCCTGCTCCCTCTCCTACAGCAGCATCCTCTTCCTCTCCACCCAAAAGTAAGTAAGAGGGAGACAGAATTTCACTTGTCTTTGGGCAGAAGGGCAGTAGCCTGCATCCCATAACTGACATGCTGGGTCTTGCCATGCAGACTGGAAGAGTTTCATCTACATTAATTTTCAGTTGAGTAATTTAAGCCTACAGCCTACAAAAAAGAAAGCTACTGACAGTTCAGTGTAGTTGCATCACAGGGCTTCAGGGGGTAAAAACACTTTCTGGCACAGTGAAGGCTTACTGACATGCTGAGTAGCCTGGAAAGATTATTTAGAGCTTTTTCAGAAGCCAGTTTTATATGTCTAAATTTCTATAAATGCACAGAACGTCTTAAACTATAAAGCTATTCTCCAGTTCTGAAAGAGCCAAAACCCAGCCAATTGCAGAGATGACTGGTAACTTGGAAGTGAAACATGACTGACCTGCAGAGCCCATGGCTGTTCCAGGTTTGCACACATATATCCAGCATATGAGACACAATGAAGATATAGCTGAAAAAAATCCTCAATTTTCTGAAAAATACAATGGCTATGCAAATTAACCCAGGAATAAGTCTAAGGAAAAGTCTAGATACTTTGTAATGCATGGATTTAGTTGTTGGAGTCCAAATATGTCTTGTTCCAAGTCAGTTTACTTTGGCATTGCCCAAAAGGTCTTTACCTTATGATGAGATGGGTCTTGGGTGTACCATGTAGAACAGGATGGCAGTTCTTACCCAAGGTGCATGCCACAAAAACCCCATTACAGTAATAGACACCTATTGCTGGGCCAGCTGAGCTGAAAACCTGCTCTTTCACCTTTATGCCAACCTTCCCGTCATAGACCTGCAGCAAAGATGTAACCCCTGAAAGTCTCATCTGGTGGATAAATATTTGTGAACAAAATTTTGCTATGACTTCTGGTTTGTTAATATCTTGGTGATGAATTTCAGATATTGCAAGATACTGTTTTCACATGTTTTCATGTGTGCTAGATCAATGTACTGAGTCCAGCTGGCTTTGTGACGTTGTTCACAGTTTGTTAAAAATCAAATCCAAACTATCTCAAGTCAAGATAAAACTCGGTCACTAATATTCAGAAGCAACCTTTAAACATTTGAGTCCAAGTATGTTCAGTCCAGGAATATCCATCTAAGAGTCCACTAGGAATAAATACACCTAGAGGTGGAAGGGGCAGTATTGGAAGCTATGCGTGACATTAAAAGAATGTGTTAAAAATCAAATTAAATTGTTAGACGTTATTCTTCAAAAATGAGAGTGATGGGTTGAACTGCTGCGATACTAACTTTGCAGTAAGACTTCTTCACTGCACTTAATTTTGAATAAACAAGGCTTATGACTTTTTTTCCTTTTTTTTGGACAAACAAATAAAGGCTTGATGAAATACAGCCACCTCAGCGAAGTTCTATTTTCTTCCTCTTCTTTCCCAGAACTACTTTAATATCTACTTGTAGGAAAGCACGTGTTTAGCTACCACTGGGAATACAGTTTACTTTGGATTCTGATCTTTGGATTCTACTTGAAGCTAAGTTAGGTCCTTTTTTCACTGAAAACCCATTATCATGGCCCGCTGAGCTCTGGGACTTTCCCCGCTTCTCTTTTACAATGAGGTTACATAAATTCTGCACTGGGTTTCCTCAGACCCTGTGTCACGGATAACCACCCCCCTTAATTGCAAGTAGTTTCGCTGCTGAAGATTTTATTTTGAAGTAAATTGGATTCCAAGGGATACATTTATATTACAACCTGTCCATAAATTCATATGAACAAGCCCCTAAAAATAAGCTCTAAGCCAATGAGTTGGCTAAAATCCCTTCAGAACGGTAGACCTTGGTAGGATGTCCTTCTACTCACTGTTTCAGAGGGAAAGCTCTGGGTTTATGTCTCAGAGACACTCACTGATGCTAGCAGTCAGTGCTTGGTATTTCTTATTTGTTGCTTTGATTATGTCTCTTTCAGTTCCTTCTTGACAATCCTGACCTTCCTGTTTTACATTTGTTATGTGGTTGTTCCATGTTTCCCATGTGTTGGTTTATGGTATCAGTACTGGTCAGCTGAAAAGGTTGAAAAGATCACTCTATAAAATGGTCCCAAAAGCGATGGACATAGTTTTGACAAAAAAAATAGATTCAAGAAATGGGAAGGACAACACTGAAATAGCCCCATCCCCTGTAGGCACCGCGAACAATGCTTTCTGCTGTGCCCCAGTGCCTGTTAGACAGTGCTTGTCCTCAGCTATTAAAAGGTGGGTGTTAATTTCTGATGAAAACTGACACCCTTTCAAGAAATTGGAGCAAATCCTTTACTAATGACAGCAAGGGTGTTGTTACTGATTTTGCCTGCAGTACAACTGCAAAGAGACTGCTTAGCCAGTGAGTTTGTGTGGAGATGGGGAAGGATCTCTTTCCCCTCATCCTGGGAGCCAGGCGGCCTCATCACCCCACTGCTTAACCAGCAGTTTACTGGCATTGAACCAAAAAGCAAACTCCTTGTGCCTTCTGCCTTCAGAAAGACTCCCTGTGATCATGTCCACGTTTTCCCTCTTCCATAATTACACACTGCCAAGGTGAACAGAACGGTCTTTTTTTTTTTTTTTTTAAAGAGATTCTGTATTTTAAACAGCAATATGAGTGCATTTGAAAAGGAAAAATACAAGGTATAAGAGCTTCCCAAAATAGCAGCATGCGACTTGTTCTGGCTGTGCTCAGGTGCAGCTATGCATTACTTCAGATTTCTGATAACATCCTGTCTCCTGCGCTGGAGTAACCTAGGGGTCGTGAGGACGGTACTAAATCAGAAATGTGTAGAGGATTAGACTGGGGCAATCTTGACAGCAGCCAGCGGGGAATGGAATATAAATCATGCTAAGAAGTTAAAATAGCCATCCCATTTGCAAAACAGTCATGGTATTTTCCTTAAGGGGGAAAAGAAAATAATGTCCTTCGAAAGTGCCAGATTGGCAGGGTGGGATAATAAAAAAACTTCTGACTGTGCAAGTTTCTCCTGCCCATGTGCTACAGTGCCGCTGATCTGCCTGGTGTGGAGGAAGAAGGTCAGGGTGGCAGGCTCAGCGCTCCTATCTGAAAAGAGCAGCATCAGCAGACCTGCATATACACCTGTAGTCCGCTTGCCCTGGACCTCCTGTTGGGGTGAAACAAGGCAGTTGCTGTGAAATCAGCCCAGTGGCACTTCATTTGTGCCAAGAGTGAGTCACATCACCAGGACTGAAGTGGTGGTATGGAGGCAGCTCTGCCCTGCTTCCCACAGGCAGGCAGGGGGGATGGTGCATTGCCTCTGCTAAGTCTTCTCACAGTGGTGCGAGTCACAGTCTTTGTTTTCCTGTTACATTGAGACCCATCCCTTGGGGAAGAAAACCTAGAAACCACAAGTTCATTGCAGGCCAAACAACAGCACAGCAACAGGCATCGCTGACCTGGCCACAGGTGAGCTGAAGACCTGGAAATGTCTTGCTCCTCAGCAGAAAAGCAGCGATGGCTGGTGGAGCCAGGCATCTCTGCCAGCTGCTCAGCACAGCATAAGCTGAGGGCTTTTCACCCAGGGGACTTGCACATTTTGGGAGAGAAATATGAAATTGGTGGCTGTTGCTAGATGACATTTCTAATGGTAGTTAATAAGCTTGTTTTCTGGTTGCTGATTTCCTGACACAAATCAGAGATTGGTTCTCAGTACCTAAAAGTGACTTGTTCTTCCTTATGTGAGAGTTCTGAAGACTGATTCATAAATAATGGCTCAGGGGTGACGGAAGCGAGATAAATTGCTTTCATTAGAATTCACATAAAACAGCAGCAGAGTCCCTGCTTGCCACTACGGATTGAACAAATGTGCCAGCATGCACGTTTTTCATTTTGCAGCCACTGATACTATGGAGTTGTTCCTGGACCTAATAGCTTTGAATGTTCTTTTTTTAAAGTAATTAATATGAAGAGTGATCCTGGAAAAAATTGCCTCACCCTCCATAAAGTTATTTGCAAGCTGTAGGCATCATACTCGTTTCTGTGGATATTTTTTAAACTACTGACAAATGGACAATTTGAGGTTCTTCAAGAGAGGAATTGCTTTCAAGATCTTTCTGGAAGCTTGGAGGAAATATGCTTAGGCAGTTCCATTTTATTAATATGATAGTGCTGCACTCCACATTCGTGGGCACCTGCTGTGTTAGAAAAAGGCTTTGCAGCAGCAAACCACAGAATAAACTACACTAGGGACTTGGGGGATTATTTTGGGTTTTTTTCCACAGAAATAATAATTTTACAAGGCATTATTAGACAAGCTGCCATTCTTGATGTATGTATCTTAGGATATACCTTCCAAATGCAACTGTTTCAGAAAATAGCAGGTGAGAGATGGATACAGACTTGAGGTGGGGCTTATCTGCCCCATGTGGGTTTTCCAAAGGCTGAGCTGCTGGACACACGTTCCCTTTAGGGTCTCTAGAAAGAAAGAGGCACTCCAGATTCAGTTCATCCCATAACAGCCATATAAGATGGGTCAGGAAGACATTTC